CACAGGAAATGCAGAGAGTTCCAAACAAGATGATCCCAAACAGGCCCACCCCAAGACACATCATAGTGAAAATGGCAAGAGTGAAAGACAAAGATAGGATCCTAAAAGCAGCAAGGGACAAGCAGCAAGTTACATATAAGGGTACCCCTATAAGATTATCAACTGACTTTTCTACAGAAACCCTACAGGCCAGAAGGGAGTGGGCAAGAGGTCTTCAATGTGATGAAAAACAGAGGTTTACAACCTAGACTGCTCTATCCAGCAAGGTTATCATTTAAAATTGAAGGAGAGATAAAGAGCTTCCCAGAAAAGATTAGCTTTGTTTTTAATAAATGTTCTTCTGCATGATGTGATTCCTCTTCAGAGTTTTTTGTACCAAACTCAATCAGAATGTAGTAGTATTTTGTTGTTTAAAATTAATTATTTTATTTTATTTAGGCTTCCAGTTGTGCAGCTCTGGAAATGCAAATACATTCTGACATACTTAAAGTTATTTTGGACTACCTCTATACTGATGAAGCTGTGGTGATAAAAGGTATTAATAAGACTTAGGACATTTTAGATATTTAAGATGGAATTGAATAATGGTAAAATTAACATGTGAATCTTAATTTCTACCCTAATTGAAATACGCCATCAACATTTGGAATTAGTAATAGGGATGATTACTAACAGTAAAGGAGCGGAAAGAAAAGTTTGCATTACTTATGTGAAAACGAACTCTGGAAGAATTATATTTGATGGTTGAGGTTAGATTTAAATTTCATACTGAACCACTTCTTTGATTGAGATGAGGAATTGACAACAGGAAGTATAGTTTTGACAAATAATCTATGAAAATTCCTTTTGCCCTGTTCTTCCCCATATGATAACATATCTAAAGTGAAAGAAATAAAATTGATCCAAAATTTATGAAAAGAGTGCATTTATATATTTTGTCACCAGCACACTCATGTTTTAGTTGCTAGAAGTCTTTAGTCATAGACTGGTGCACTTCTGTGTTCCATCATATGCATATACCACATTTTCTTTACCCATCACCTGTTGCTAGACATTTAGACTGTTTGTGTATCTTGACTATTATGAATAATGCTGCAATGAACATGGGGCACAGGTATGTCTTTAAGATCCTGATTTCCATTTTTTGGGTTAAATACTGTTGGATTGCCGTATCATGGTATTGCTGTTTTTAATTTTTTGAGGAACCTCCATGTTGTTTCCGTAGTGGCTGTACCATTTTCACTCTTAACTGTACCAAGGGATCCCTCCACAGCCTCGCCAATGCTTATCTTTAGAGTTTTTGATAATAACCATCCTAAAGGTATAAGGTGACATCTCCTGGTTTTGATTTGTATTTCCCTGATGATTATACACTAGAGACATTGAGCATCGTTTCATATATCTTTTTTTAAATTAATTAATTTATTATTATTAGTTTCAGGTGTACAGAACAATGCAATAGTTATCCTTTTTACCCCTCACACAGAAACAACCCCCTTTCCCTCTATCCACTGCTCTCCCACCCCCGATATCATACTTATCTATTACAATTCCATTGACTCCATTCCCACACTCTACTCCACATCCCGTGACTATATGTATGTATAATTATATATATTTACATAAAATATTTGACATACAATATTATTCAACATCAGCTTCAGAAATACAGTGCGGTGGTCAGGCCTCTACACCGTCTATGAAGTGGTCTCCCTAACAAGACATGAGTCCATCTAGCCCCCTAAAAAATATTTACAACGATATTGATTATATTCCCCAGACTGTCTTTTCTATCCCTGAGGCCATACTGTAGTTACCAATTTGTATTGTCTCATCCCTTCCCCTTCTTCATTTCATTTATCTTATTGGCCATTTGTATGTTGTTTTTGGAGAAATATCTATTCAGGTCTTTCCCCAATTTGTTAATTGAGTTATTTGTTTTTTTGCTATTGAGTTGTAGGAGTTCTTATGTATTTTGGACGTTAACCTCTTATGAGATATGGTTTGCAGATATTTTCTCCCATTCTAAAGGTTGTCCTTCTGTCTTTTCATTTTATTGCTTCCTTTGTGCAGAATCTTTTTAGTTTCATGTAATTGCACTTGTTTACTTTTGCTTTTGTTGTATGTGGTTTTGATGTCATATGTAAAAAATTATTGCCATGACCAATGTCTAGGAGCGTTTTCCTTGTTTTAGGAGTTTTGTGATTTCAGGTCTTAGGTTTGTCTTTAATCCATTTTTCGTTGATTTTTGTGTATGGTGTAAGATGTGGGTCCAGTTTCATTCTTTTGCATGTAAATATTCAATTTTCCTAACACTGTTGAAGAGACCGACCTTTTCCCATTTTGTATTTTTGATACCTTTGTCAAAGATTAGTTGACTATATATTTGGAAGTTTATTTTTGGTCTCTTGATTATGTTCTGTTGGTTTGTGTCTGTGTTTATATACATTACTGGTTTGATTACTATAGCTTTATAATAGAGTTTAAAATCAGGAAGTGCCATGCCTCCAGTTTTGCTCTTCTTTATCAAGATTGCTTTGGCTGTTCAGGGTATTTTTGTAGTTCAATATTGATTTTAGATTTGCTTTTTTTTCTGTGAAAAATGACATTGGAATTTTAATAGGATTTTATTGAATCTGTAGATTGCTTTGGGTAGAGTATGCATTTTAACAATATCAGTTCTTCCAGTTCATGAATATAATATACCTTTCCACTTATTTGTGTGTCTTCTTCAATATCTTTCCTCAGTGTTTTATAGTTTCCAACAATTATCTCCTTGGCTAAAATTATTCCTAAGTGTTTTATATTGATATAATTGTAAGTGGGATTGTTGTCTTCATTACTTTTTGGGATAGTTCGTTGTTTGTGCATAGAAAAGCAACTGACTTTTTTGTTGGTTTTGTTTCCTGCAACTTTACTGAATTCATTTATTACTTCTAATAGCTTTTTGGTGGAATCTTTAGGGTTTCTATGTATAAAATCTTGTCAGCTGCAGAGACGGTTTTACTTCTTCCTTTCCAGTTTGGATGCTGTTTATTTCGTTTTCTTGCCTAATTGCTCTGGTTAGGACTTCCACTACTATGGTGTATAGAGTGGGCATCCTTGCCTTCTTAATCTTAGGATGAACAGCTTTTTTTTTTTTTTTTAATTAAACTTGACTATTGTGTTAGCTGTGGGCTTGTCACATATGACCTTTATTGTGTTGAGGTATATTCCTTCTATACCTAATTTTGTTGAGAGTTTGCATCATGAATGGGTGTTGAATTTTGTCCTATGAACTTTCTGCATCTATTGAGATGATCATATGATTTTTATCCTTCATTCCGTTAATGTGTATCATATTCATTGATTTACATGTGTTGAACCATCCTTACACCCAAGTGTAAATTCCACTTCATCATGGTGTATGGTCCTTTTAATATGCTGTTGAATTTGGTTTACTATTATTCAATTGCAGATTTTGCATGTATGTTCATCAGGGATATTGTTCTGTAAATTTCTTGAAGTGTATTTTCTTTGTCTGCCTTTGGTATCAGGATAATGCTGGCCTAATAAATGAGTTTGGAAGTGTTCCTTCCTCTTCAGTTTTTTTGACAAGTTTGAGAAGGGTTGGTGTTAATTTTTGTTTAAATGTTTGGTGGAATTCATCTGTGAAGCCATCTGGTCTTTTGGGAGACTTTTGATTACTGATTCAATTTCCTTACTCTTATTGGTCTGTTCACATTTTCTGTTAACTTGTGGTATGTTGTATATTTTAGGAATTTATCCATTTCTTCTAGGTTGTTCAATTCATACAGCATACACTTGTTCATAATAGCCTCTTATGATCTGTGATATCAGTTGTAATTTCTCCTCTTTTCATTTATAATTTTATGAGAGCCCTCTCCTTTTTTCTTAGTCTACTTAAGTGTTGTTAATTTTGTTTATCTTTTCAAACAACCAACTCTTAGTTTTGTTGATCTTTTCTATTGTTTTTCTGGTGTGTAGTTCATTGCTTTCTGCTCTAATATTTCCTTCTGCTAATTTTACACTTCATTTGTTCTTTTTCTAGTTCTTTGTTATGTAAAAAGCCTTGTTTGTTCTTTGAGATTTTTGTTGTTGTTAAGGCATTTATCACTATAAACTTTCTTGTTAGAACTTTTTTTGCTTCATACCATAGGCTTCTCTATGTTGTGTTTTCATTTTCATATGTCTCGGTATTTTTTTGCTTTCTCTTTGATTTCTTTTTTAACTTATTGGTTGTTTAGGACTGTGTTGTTTAATTGCCACATGTTTGTGAATTTTCCAATTTTCCTCCTGTTATTCTAGTTTTATACTGTGTTAGTTGGAGGAGATACTTGGTATGATATCAAATCTCTTTAAATTATTGAAACTTGTTTGGAGGCCTAACATATGATCTATCCTGGATAATGTTTTACATGCACTTGAGAAGAATATGTATTTGCTGCTATTGGATGGAATGCTCTGCATATGTCTGTTAGGTTCATTTGGTGTATGGTGTTGGTCGTGTCTGCTATTTTCTTACTGGTTTTCTGTCTGGATGATCTATCCATATTTCAACATAGAGCATTGAAGTCCTTCAATATTATTTTATTGATGTCTATTTCTGCCTTTAGTTCTATCAATATTTTCTTCATATATTTAGGTGCTTCAGTGTTGTATGCATATATCTTTACAAATTGTTACATCTTATTGACATATTAACCCCTTTATCATTGTATAATAACCTATCTCTTGTGACTCTTTTTAAATTAAAGCCTATTTTGTCTGGTATAAATCTAGCCACTTCTACTCTCCTTTGATTACTATTTGCATGGAATATCTTTTTGCATCCTTTCACTTTCAGCCATGTGTTTCTTTAAAGGTAAAATGGGTCTCTTGTAGCCAACATATAATTGGATCTTGTTTCTTTATCCATTCAGCCACTTTGTCCTTTGATCAGAGAATTTAATCTATTTATATTTATAGTAATTATTGATGGGTAAGGACTTACTATTGCCATTTTGTCAGCTGTTTTCTGACTATTTTGTAGTTCCTTTGTTTCTGTCTTCCTTGGTGATTTAATCATTTTTTGGGTAGTGGTATGATTTCATTTTTTAATCTTTTGTGTATCTATTATAGAGTTTAGCTTTGTGGTTACCATGAGGTTTACATATAACATCTTATAGTTATAACAATCTATTTTAAACTAATCACAACTTCATACAAAACTTTTATACTCTTCTGACCCCTTCACCCCCCTACTTCACCATTATTCTTCAAATATTCTTTATGCCTGTATGTATCTTGGTATGCTGGTTTGTGTGCCATAGTTCTTTTATGCTGTGTTTATTCATTCTTTTTTCCTTCTGTTCCTCAGGCTGGATAATCTCATTTGACCTATAATTTCTGTTTTCACTGATACTATTGATTTTGCGAGACATTATTCTCATACTTCCTTTTAGTTTTTTAAACAAGACTCCCTTGAGTTCGTTGGTCATATTTCAAATAGCTGTTTTAAATTCTTTGTCTAATACTTCAGCATCTTGTCTTCCTCAAGGATGGTTTCTCTTTGCTGCTTTTCTCCTATATATGGGCCCTACTTACATTCTTGCATGTTTAATAATTTTTGTTGTTGAAAACTGGACATTTAAATAATATAATGTTGCGGCTCTTAAAATCAGATTCTTATTCTTCCCCAGGCTTTGTTATTTGTTTAGTGTGGCCTTCTATATTTACAAGAATATGTTGGAACTTTTCAAACCCCTTCATGAACATCTGTATTAGTCAGCTCAAGCTGCCATAACAAAATAGCATAGACTGGGTAGTTGAAACAACAGAATTTATTTTTTTACAGTTTTAGAGGCTAGAAGTGTCAGATCAGGGTCTGGCAAGATTGGTTTCTGGTGAGAACTCTCTTCCTGGCTTGTACATGACTGCCTTCTTGTTATGTCCTCACATAGCCTTTCCTCATAGGGGGGTGGGGGGGGGCGTGAGAGAGAGAGGTTGTGTCTGTGTGTGTATGTAGAGAGGTGGGGGGGGATAGGAGGGAGAGATGGAGATATATTTCTGATGTTTCTTATTAGAAGGACACTAATCCTGTTGGATTAGGACCCTACCATTATGATTTTATTTAACCTAATTACTTCCTAAGAGGCCCCATCTTCAAATATAGTCACACTGGAAATTAGGGCTTCAACACGTAAATTTTCAGGGGACATAAACATTTAGTCATAACAACCTCTCTTTCCCTAGCTATTCTTTCTAACTTTTTTTGATATGTTTTTTGTTTGCTCCATTTGTTATTGTTGTCTCAGTCAGCTTCAATGTTAAACAATTGCTGCTGATTGCTTTTATTAAATGCCCCTAAGGAAGAGGCTGTTCACACTGAGCAAGCTTGGAGTGAGTAGCTCTTCTAGTGGGTAGGGTTTCCAGAGAACTGTCATGCAGGTCAGATAATGATAGTTCTTTGATAATATTGCTCTAAAGCTGTTAATGTCTTCTCCAGTGGCTGTAGCTGTTCATTTCCACTGTGATAGCATGGTTGTTGGTTTTCAAGACTACTGCGGAAGAAGGGAGAGAAGGATCTAAATAGGGAAAGCTGCAGTGTCCCAAAGCTCACTGTTCTTACCAAGATTCCGATAATTTTCTTGAGTCAGGACTCTCCAGATTATTGCAAGCATTTGGATAATATCTAGAATTCTGAAAAAGTTGCTTTTGACAATTTTTTACAGTATTCTCATTGCTTTTGTAAAGGAATAAAAAAATTAGAAATAGGCCTTAGTCTGCCATTCACCTCTCCTTCATTTAAAAAACATTTTGTTTTTTCCTTTTTTTCTTCTTAACTGTTTTCCCTCCTTTCTTCCTTTGGTGGTGCTATTGTTTGTTTATTAATGTCGTTATTCTGGCAGTGGCTCAGGGACATTGCTTAAGGCCATTAGTAGTACTCTGCACCAAGAAGGTTATTTTAAATTAAGAAATTCCTATAGTTTAAAAAATATACTCTTAGGTGACCAATTTTGTTTTAAATAAGGAAACCTAATTCACCACTAGCCTCCCCCTATTAATGTAAATGTTAACATACATACCTACATATTAAGTTTGATGCTGAGATTTGACTTTCCCCTCAATTTGAAAAATATTTGTCTAAAAACATGAGAGATTTTTAAATCAATCAGGCTTTCCAGTAGCCCTCTGAACTAAAAAGATCAACTCAAGGGCCAGGTGAGTGCCGCGTTGGTTAGGAGTTGGCTTGGGATGCCTGCTCTGAGCAGCAGGGCCCGGGTTCAGATCCCACATATGAAGGCCAATGACGCTTCACCCTCTTCAGCTAAGATGGTGAACAACAGCTCGACCTGGAGCTGGGCTTCTGTGAGTCGTCAACGACAGTATAGGCTGCAGTGGGGCAGGCCAGCAGCGGGCATGAGCTGCCGTCAGCAGCCGTTTCATGGCCGGCGAGCGATTGCCTCATCTGGGAAGAGAACAATCAATGATAATACCAACTTGGGCCAGTGAAGCGATGTCCTCCACAACTAGACTGAAGAACAGAAGAACAGCAACTTGTCTGTTCCCCTTCCCCGATTTCCCAACACACTTCCCCTCCCCCAATTCCCCAATAAAATCTTTAAAAAAATAAAAATAAAGAAAATAAAAAGATCAACTCAAGTTGCCCATTTCATGGTCCTGGTGTGAGCCAGGGCATTTTGGTAGAAATGTTTTGAAACTATTACTATTTATCATAGTTGCCATTTCAACATTTAGAAAATACCATTATAATTCTCTTTTTCTTAGTGTCTTAATTACTTGGATTTGTTTTCCTAGGCATAATGTTTACAAAGTAATAAAAAGTGATGCTTGTTTTCTTTTTCTTTTTTTTTTTAGAATCTCAAAATGTGGATTTTGTTTGTAGTGTTCTTGTGGTGGCTGATCAGCTTCTCATAACTCGATTGAAAGAGATTTGTGAAGTAGCATTAACTGAAAAGCGTGAGTATTTTTGAATTAGAATATTGGTGTTTTCAGGTTGGTCCAGGATTACTATATTTTATTAACTTTCTGTTGCCATTTATGGCTAAATGCACCAATATTTTTTGTATTATGAGAAATGTCAAAACATTTAAACCATTTCATCACTTACAAGCACATCATTATTTCAGAAATGCTTATATGTGAAAATATATACAGTTTAGAATTGAAATATTTATTTGAAATGTTATAAAACCATGAATAATAAAGATGGTGTGAAATTTATTTTGAAATTTCAAGGGTTAGAGTTTGGAAGCAGAAATGTTTTACCCTTGCCCTTGTCTTGACTATGTCTGTGTTAAGCTTTCCATTTCCTGTTTGCTGGAATGTTTATGTCACCTTCCCCTTAATATATTTGATCAAAACACGTCTCTTTTCTCTCAAACTTCTATTTTTTTCCTCTTCATTATTTCAGTTAATTGCATGACTTTCCTCCTGAACACCCCAAATTATTTTTTTGTTATTTTCCTTATACCCATATTCTTTTAATTGTCAAAACTTATTCATTTTAACTATGTTGATTACATCCTCCCACCTTTTTTATTCTCACTTTGACTGTGCTAGTTATCCATCTCTTCCGTGTAGTGTCACAGTAGTTTTTAAGTCTTTTTTCTTTCTTCTAACTTTCCTTTAATCTTTCTATAGGAAGTAAGTATATCTTCCCCTGTTCAGATATTTTTAATTGGTTACTCTAGAATAAAGGTTAAATTTCCTTAGTTTGACATAAAACTTTTGTGAACTTCTAATCTTATCTTTGTTCTCCTTCATTGCCACTTCAGGAAGTATGAAAGGATTTTCCGACAATTATTTCTAATTTGTACTTGCTAGTAATTTGTCTTAACTCTAGTGTCTTATTTACCCACTTTTCTTGAGTTCTGTGTACTATCTTCTCTTTGGTTATCAAAAAGAAAACAACAGCTCTGATGTTTTAATCAAGAAAAGGGAAATATATATAAGGATGCAACATAAAATAGCATAGAGTATCCATATAGGTGATATCCATATAGGTTCATTTTCCTGGCATTCCTTGGATATTCTTAACCGTTGTTGCGTGATTGCCTTTATTAATGAATTCCTTGATCTTCCTAGAACTTCACAAGAGAATGATTCATCAGAAGTTTGTTCTCTGGTTATTGGGCAATCCTTGTTCCCAACTGAACAACTAAAATTTTTATGTGGTCCATTTTCACTTCTGCAAAATGGGAGACTTTAGGTTCATCATTCATTAGTTGACACTTTAGATTACTTAGGAGTGAGATAGAGACCGTTACAACCTGCAGTTATAACTTTTGACAAGAGTTACAAGGGAGAAAGAAAAAAGAAATGGAGGAAACCTGGTGTAGGAAACAGTTGTGTTCCTCTGTTTGCTGGGATTCAGTAAATAAAAAGAATCGAGAGATTCTGGAAGTCAAAGTTACATGCTAGGTAGGTAGAATATTCGGGGACAGTCTTCTAACAAAACATACTTCATATGTAAAGTTATTAGGATTGTAACAAAATCCAGAATCTGTTGTACAGTATACCTGATTCTGCACTAGTATGTGGTAAGATTTAGATGCACTTATTTTTCAAATATAGTGTATATGTGTGTATGTATGTTAATATACTCAAATTCTGATTGATTACTCAAAAAATATATTCTACAGAATGATTTTGTAAGTTTCTCTTAGTCTTAAGAATATCTTTAGTTTTATAGAAGAGAGAATGACTATTCTGTGCTATATAAATGAAAAGGAAAGCTGTTTATCAAAGAAAGTTTGAAATATTAAGAGGAAGATCATCAGTTCTTATGTGTTTGCTTTTAGGTGCCATTGGTACACCTTCTCTTTTCTTCTGCTTAAGTTTTGTTTTTGTTTTTGTTTTTTTTTTAATATTCACTTATGTTTTCTTATAACCAATCATTACTTTGGCATATTGGGATGGAAAATCAGTTTTATATTTGCTCTAGTATAACATTTTTGGCAAGAAATTGCTTTCAGTTGTCCTTGTTCTAAATGTTCAAACATGACAACTTTAGAAATAAGTATATTTTAGTGTAGTAACATGCCTTTCATCTCATTTTGCGTATCTTTTCTTCCTTTGTAGTTACCCTTAAGAATGCTGCTATGCTACTAGAATTTGCAGCAATGTATAATGCTGAGCAACTGAAACTGTCTTGTCTACAGTTTATAGGGCTGAATATGGCAGCTTTACTTGAAGCAAGGTAGGCTGGGTGCAACGAACATTATATGATTGTTGCAAAAGCAATTATATACAATAGCAACTATATTAGTAATTTAAAAGTGAATAATGATAAATTTCAGCTTTGTAGAAAAAATGAAAATGTAAGAGGTTTCAATAATTTCATCAATGTTTGAGTGCCTGATAGCCAGCAATTGCAAAGATACAACAGTGAACAAACTAAACAAAATCCTTGCCCTCAATGGAGCTAACATTTTGGTTGTAATGTTGTGCAACAATATTTTTACAAGTACATTTTTTTGTATGTATGCATGTCCCTTTGCTTGTTTAGGTTGATTTGTAACTATGTAATTTAGCTATGTAACTTGTCTTTTGGAAACTATCTATAAAACTAAGCCAGCACTTAATTAATTCACCTGTAAGCATGTATAAAATTTGCTACTGGTTGAGTTCCATTATCTCTTTGTATTCACTTTCTGTATTTCTTGTACTATGCATTGATCTTTCATCAAACTTAGGGTACAAGGGTATGGCCTGAAAATTTTAATCCCTCTAGTTTGTTGCAAGCTGATAGACGTGTTGAGTAATGAAATATTACTTATAAAAAGTGACACATTTTACATAAAAAGTCAGCTAAATATATATATATATATACCATGTTTGATAAGCTAATATTTCATATTATATTGAGGATTACCTTGAGGAAAGATTATACTGTGGAAAGAATTTGGTAAATGCTAATGATTTAGGAGTCATACAATTTTAGAGGGACCTTGGAAATGTCCCATTGTTTTTAGCTGTTTTAGTAGTGGAATTTTTTTTTTTTTTAAGATTTTTTTTGAAGAATTGGGGGGATGGGAACAATGCTGGGAGATTGGGGGAAGGGGAACAGACAAGCTGCTGTCCTTTTTGTTCTTCAGTCTAGTTGTGGAGGACATTGCTTCACTGCCCCAAGTTGGCACCATCATTGCGCTCTTCCCGGGCGAGGCACATCAGTCGCCGGCCTCTGTACGGATGCTCACTGTGGCTGCTGGCCGCTCACGCTGGCTGCTGGCTACATACGGTA